GAGCCTAAGTTCACCAGGGAGCTATAAGTTTAATGTTTGTAAAACATTTTTAAGGTGAAAAACACAATTAGTTCAAATCACTGCTATGAAGTGTTGTTTTCCAAACCTCATTCACACATTAGCATCTGTCTTAACTAGTCCTGAGGGAGACAGAAATGACTAGAGGTTCCAATTGGTGACAGAGATGATGATGGAGGTCCTTATGGGACTTCAGGTGCCAGGGAAGGGTGGCGCTTGACGGCTTTGGTTGTGTGCATGCTGTATATAGTACTGCTTTGCAGAGCAGCCTCCAGTGACTAATTATTTGTGTAGGTAAATAATGAAAAAAAATACTTCTATGTGTTTTATGTCCCAGATGTTGCTAAAACAAGAAATCAATACTGGCTCAAATTCAGGGAGAGAACCATGAAACAGAATTATTCAGTTGGTGGGGGAACATCTGCTCAAAGATTTAGACAGTAAAGGGACGATTGATCAGAGGCCATAGAGCTTCTTTCCCAGACTCATGAATAGAAAGGCACAGAGTGGACATTTATTTTATTGATCTGGATTGTGGCAGGGGCACCATGTTTCTGCTTAGACATGCTTGAGGAGCTTATAATTTGTAAACAGAAGGGCAAACCAAAGCTGAATTGAGTTATCCTTTTATTTGAGCTAGCATGATTTGATGAGCAGACTGATCCAGAATTTGGCTCTCACTCTAGCTTCTGTAGCATGGCATCCTTGTGTCATGCACAACCCATATGATCAAGTGCTGGGCCTTGATAGACCAGGGCCAGCAGGATGGAGTTGTGCCTCTGAGTTGTATCTCTTTACATTGCCTCAGAAGGAAACTGGAAGCTGCTGGAACACTCCTACCAAGGACCTCCACCCAATTTTTGGCATCTTGTTCTTCTTTCCCTCTTCAGTTAGTCACAAATTGCTGTTCCTTTGTCCCAACCATCTTCAAACTGCCTAATCTTTAACTAATGGCATTAATGACAAGAAGAAAGCTTGATTTAACTTATAAATATTTGTAGTTATTTACATTTTAAAATTGAACATTTTATCTTTTACTATTTTAGGGGAAAAGTTGAAAATATGTATGCTTCTTAGGAATTTAAGCTTAGAAATAAGCTTGAAGTCATATAATTCAAAATGCATTCTTGTTTTGGTAAGAAACAAATGATTTTGCTATAAAGACTACGGCTTTAGTGTAGGAGCTGTTTAAAATAATTTTAAATATGAGAGTGCCCACCAGATAGTGTGATTTGCTGCACTATTAATTTGAATAAATTTGGTGCAGTTGCCCAAATTGGATCACTTTGCTTTCTTTCAAAGTCTTCCCATTGCATTTCAAATGAAAGCCAAGTTTCTTCTCATGGCACTCAAGGTCTTCCAAAACCTAGCCTTTGGCTACCCTTGGGGCACTCTCACTCTTGCATGCTATGCTCCAGCCATATTGCCTTTCTCTGTCTTCTGATCACAGTGCTTACATTTGCTCTCCCTAGAATGCTTACAGCTCTGTCTTGGCATTCAGTTTTAGTGCTCCTTAGAGACAACTTACCTGACCACCCAAACTAAAGAAGTCCTTTGCCTAATTACTATCACCTTACTTTATGACATTTTTCATAGCACTTGATACTCTCCAATTAATGTCTTCATTTGAATGTTTTCTATTATATGTAGGGTGACCATATAAAGTATCATCCAAACTAAGAAAGCTTTGAAAGTGAGAGCTATTAATAATTATTCCACAATAAGATAGAACTGACCCAAGGACACAAGGATGTAGAGATCATTGGAGTCATAACCAATGAGCATAACCCACTAGAAAGTGTAATCTTCCTTAGGACATGAACTTTGTTTTTTTTACTGTTTGTCCCCAGAGCACCAATAGACTCTTATTGTTAAATGAATGAATGACATGTACTTGCATAGATTTGTGCATTTCATTTCCCCCATAATTTTTGAATTTTCCCACATATAAAAGATGTGTAAATATATTTATAACATTAGTTAAAGAGAGAGAAATCAAAGAATTATATCAACCTCATGTTTCCTATATAATAATCACAAATATGGAGAATAACTGATAAAGAACAGAGAAAATGGAAAGTATTCATATTTTTAATGGGGTGGTATAATGGCTGGCTTTTGATTTCTTTTACCCCTCTGAAAATATTTGTAATTGTTTTCAATAAAAAGGAAAATATAAGCTAGTGGTGTTGACACATGCTTATAATCCTAGTGACTTGGGAGGATGAGATAGGGGGTTGGCAAGTTTGAGACCAGCCTCAACAACTTGGCAAGATCCCTAGCAACATAGGAAGACCCTGTCTCAAAATAAAAAGTCAAAAAAGCTGGAGATGTAGCTCAGGAGTAAAGTGCCCCTGGGTTAGATCTCCAGTACCCCACCCCAAAAAGGAAAGCATGGAAAAAATTAAAGGATGTTTCCTTAGTATACCTGACCCTAAGCATCATCTCCAGTTTTGATTTGTGTCTATGTTTTGTAAATTCCAAAGTTGTTTAAACTCATCTGTCTGGAGTCATAGTATCCTTGCCACAATCCATGTCTGTAAAAAGAATGTCTACTTCCTCCCTTTGACCCATGACTGAGTTCTAATAAAAGTTGCTCATGAACATTTGATGGTAGAACCTAAATTGCATTCTCTCTGTGTTTGAAAAAGCCCAGGGAATGGAGTTTTTAGCTTTCTTGCCATCACACACTAGAAGAAAGAATGTTTGTTAAATGAGCCAATCCACCATCAGCCAAACTATCAAGAACATTCATTTACTTTAACAAATACTTATTGAGTACCTGCTGTGTGCATGACCTACTGGTAAGGGCATTGTGTCAAAAGATTTTTTTAATTTTAAAATTCATTTTAATTAGTTATACATGACAATAGAATGCATTTAGGTACTTTGATATAATTTCTCATTTTTCTGAGTGTACATGTTGCAGAATCATATTGGTCATGCAGTCACATATTTACAATCAGTAATAATGTCTGTTTCATTCTACTATCCTTCCTATCCTCACAAAACCTCCCCTCCCCTCCCTTCACTTCCTTCTACCTTGTGCGTGTGAGGCAAACACTCTACCAACTGAACTATATCCCCAGTCCCTCCAGCCATTTTTATTTTTTATTTTGAGACAGTGTCTCACTAAGTTGCTTAGAGTCTCACTAAGTTGCTGAGGCTGACTTTGAATTTGCCATCCTCCTGCCTCAGCCTCTCAAGCTGCTGGGATTACAGGCATGGGCTATTGTGCCTGGCCTTGAGATATATTGACTTAAACAAGCACAAGAGCATTTGATTTATTGTTTTTCAATTGGTCTCAGCCTTTCAATAAAGACAATAGGATAGTGGAAAGAGCACTTATTTTTTTTTAATTTTTTTTATTGATTGTTCAAAACATTACAGAGCTCATGATATATCATCTTTCATACATTTGACTCAATTGGGTTTTGACTCCCATTTTTACCCCAAATATAGATTGCAGAATCACATCTGTTACACTCTCACATTTTTACATAATGGCATATTAGTGACTGTTGTATTCTGCTACCATTCCTATCCCCTACTATCCCCCCTCCCCTCCCCTCCCCTCCCATCTTCCCTCTCTACCTCCTCTGCTGTTGTTCAATTCTCTCCCCTTTTATTTCCCTCCCCCTTGCCCCTCACAACCTCTTATAATTTTGTGTATCATTGAAGGTCTCCTACCATTTCCATATGCTTTCCCTTCTCTCTCCCTTTCTCTCCCCCCATTCATCTTTGTTTACTGTTAGTCTTTTCCTCATGCTCTTCCTTCCTGTTCTGTTCTTAGTTGCTCTCTTTATATCAAAGAAGACATTTGGCATTTGTTTTTTAGAGCTTGGCTAGCTTCACTTAGCATAATCTGCTCTAATGCCATCCATTTCCCTTAAAATTCTATGATTTTGTCATTTCTTAGTGCTGCATAATACTCCATTGTGTATAGATGCCACATTTTTTTTTTATCCATTCATCTATTGAAGGGCATCTAGGTTGATTCCACAGTCTAGCTATTGTGAATTGTGCCGCTATAATCATTGATGTGGCCATATCCCTATAGTGCGCTCTTTTAAGGTCCTCAGGGAATAGTCCAAGAAGGGCGATAGCTGGGTCAAATGGTGGATCCATTCCCAGCTTTCCCAGGAATCTCCATACTGCTTTCCAAATTGGCCTCACCAATTTGCAGTCCCACCAGCAATGTACAAGAGTACCCTTTTCCCCACATCCTCGCCAGCACTTGTTGTTGTTTGACTTCATAATGGCTGCCAATCTTACTGGAGTGAGATGGTATCTTAGGGTGGTTTTGATTTGCATTTCTCTGATTGCTAGAGATGGTGAGCATTTTTTCATGTACTTGTTGATTGATTGTATGTCCTCCTCTGAGAAGTGTCTGTTCAGGTTCTTGGCCCATTTGTTGATTGGGTTATTTGTTATCTTATTGTTTAATTTTTTGAGTGGAAAGAGCACTTATAACTGCAACTAGACATTGTATGTCCTTGATTAACCTCTCTGTACTCATGGCTCACCTTCATGAGGTATTGGACCAGTTGATCATCAAATACTTATCAGTCTCTCATTTTCTATGACTAAATAGTGTTATTTAAATAATAGTTTAATAAATGAATTAATAATTGAATAAGAGCTAGTCAACTCTACATTAAACATAATCTGCAACATATTTCACTTGTTTTTTCCAACATAATCATCTAGTATCTGTTCATACCAAGAGGGTGACAATATAAATGTTTTATCCATAAGATGTGTATCAACATTCCTCTTCCTTGGCTTTTTTATCCTTTAATTAACAATTGTATCTAAAGCCTAATTTTCTTTATGTATAACCACATTTTGCATAAAATATGTCTCTGTTGATGGCTCCTAGATTTTAAAATATTTTATAAAAATGAGCTTCAGATTCCTGGTGTGAATATCATTATGTAGAAATCAAATAGAAAAAGAAATAAATATGACTGCAAATAACATTGGATAGTCATCAGATATTAAAATTCATTTAATAAAATAATAGAGAACAAAAAATTCTGTTTTTTTCATTCCTATGGACACCACTGTTGATAGAGACACCATTGTCTTTAAGCTGGGGATCTGGAACATCATTGCCTTTTCTCAGATTATCTAAAAAATATGAGGATAAATAACTTAGTTGTGGACACATGTGTTTTCCCTTGATACCTGCAAAATGACATAGTCAATACTGTAGCTAATGAAACATCATCTCTATCCTGAAAAAAATGCAAAAATCTGTGGTCATTACTATGGTTAGGGCGATCATCATCTTTTATCTGGACATCTGCAAAGTCCTATAGTAAGTAATATGGTTAAGTACACATCATCTTTGACTTGGACAACTAAAATATCCCAAGACCACTAGTATGATAAGGGACAGATTGACTCTTTCCTGGATATACGTGAAATTCCAAGGTTAGCACTGTAGGTACAGACACCATCATCTTCTGCTAGGATACCTGTAAAAATCCTATGGTCACTAGTGTTTTAGACACCTGAATATTTGCACATTTCCAAGGAAAGTACATTAGAGACTTCCAGAGTATAAAAGGATTTCTACAAAATTGCCCTAGTAAAAATGTTGATTAGTCAACATAATCAATATCACTGAAGGGACATTTTCAAATAAATATGGTCATTTTGTTAGCTTAAGAATTCTAGTATTGCTCACCTGAATACATGCAAAATCTCATGAGCTCTAATGTTGATAAAAGCATTATCTTGAGCTTGGATGCAAGCAAAATCTTGCCTTTCATATTATAGAAAGGTTTGCAATAATCTCTCAATTGGAATCTATGAAAGCCCAGAGACAAAAAAATGTTTAAGGATAAATCCACAACATGGTATACCTAAAAATCTTATAGGTGGCTAATAACTTAAAAGGAACCATAAAAGCTTCCTAGATACTAGCAAAAACCCAGGATCAACATTAGATAACACCATCAATGCTTGAATAGATTTCTGCAAAAATAGCAATTAAGAGGTTATGGTTGAACCAAATAGTGGTATCTAATTTGGATTTTGCTGGTGTTCAGTTAATAGATGATGTGTGCATTAACCATAGTGATTAAGGTACCACTGTCTCTCAATTGGATCCTATAAAAATGGTTAAAAAGGTGTAGAATACATGTACTACATGAACATCTGCAAAATTCCATGGTCACTTGATCATTATGAGGTTCATCAAATCTAGCTGAAACTATCAGACATTCAAGTCAATAAACTACTTACAAGACACATTTTGGTCTTGATAATTGAAGAAAAGGGAAAGTCAGTAAACAGATGTGAACAAAATGATAACTTACCCAGATACCTGCATATCCTTCAGTCACTAATGAGTTAAAACACACATTATATCTAATCTCTAAAACATAAAGGGCCATTGCTTACTCATATTCATTGGGACATGCTGTTTAAGGCCCACATTACATTCCTTGAGACAAATAAAATCCCTGTTAATAATTATCGCAAAGTTCAAAAAGTTCTCTTGACTTGAATCTGAGAAAACATTGCAATAAATGTGTCCACTGGCATTTTTCCAACATGGACAATGACAAATGAACTTTTTCACTTCCATCATTGTAGGACTTATCAACTCTACCTGAAAACTTGCAGTAATCTAAGGTTGATGTCATGGTTAAGAACAGCAACTTTTCTCAACTACACACATGCAAAATTACTATGGATAATATAATGACTTGGAACACATAATGACCTACCTCTGTATGTGAAGATGAGAAGTCCTAGGCTGTCAATTAGTCACATATGTGCTTACATGAATCAGATCATTAAATCATTTTGGGATCCATCTATACCACCTAAATACTTACACAAAACCATAGACAATTTCTTGTAAGAGAACTCTTCCTGTGAGGGGAAACCTGCAAAAATTCCATAGTGCATAATCCCAGTGATGGATTCTATGACAATTACCTGGAATGAACACTTTTTGCTCACTCTAATGTCTTGACATGTCTCTGAAAAAAATAGTGGAAACAGTGTTTGATACCTGTCAAATTCTTAATACATATCTACAAATTTCACAGGACCTTCAATCAATTCAAGACAATTCATTTACCCTACCTGGATATTTGAGAACTAATAGGGATAAGACACAGATGAAAATGATTACAGTCTTTAGATGATTCCTGCAAAAAAAAATGGGTTTAAGCACAGAGCAAGCTGTACCAAAATACTTATGCCTTCTATAACCCATGACCAACTTGAAGAGACCCTTCAACTCTATCTGGAAATGTGGATGAACCGGAGGTGAACAGTATTGTCTGGAGCATCTTCCCTGTCTCAAATGTACACATGAAAAATAGTGCATGCCTACCTCTAGCCTCGAGATTCAATTCCAATGAAATGGACCCAGATAAAATTTGTCTCTCAACATTCTCTGGTTCAATGTGAATTTCATCTACTGGATAAACTAGGTATATAATCGTGGTCACTAGAATTCCAAAAAAAAAAAAAGTCATAATTTCTTAGCTGAGCAAGTGCAGCACAAGCTTGGTGACAATAAGGGTCCAGGACACCCTTATCACTTACCTATGTATCTGAAGATCAGATGTCTCATACTGTGATTTAGGTCCCATTAATACTTACTACCTAGATTCCAATAATGGACCACTAGACAACCTTTCTTCAGCTCACTGTGATGTCTTGACCCTTCTGGGAATGAACCAACCAGCCATGGCATGTTGGCAAATCTCCTGGTTCCTAGACACCTGCAAAATCCTGAGGGCAATGAATCCTTAGTGGCTCCAGCAACACTATCTGGAGCCACAAAGACATGCACTGACCAAACCTTTTAGGCGAGCTCCTACCTTCTCAAGAGGTCACCTGCAAAAATGCCATGCTCAGTATGGCAGCGAGACACATGTCGAACCTGATGTGGAGCCACGGTTTTGGCCACACAACTATGAGCATTAAATAAACAGCATCTGTTGGCAACTGCACAAGAAAAACTGATGCCAAATAGCTATGTTGAGAAGGCACTCATGTTGTCAGCCCATACTTCTGCCAAAAAGAAGGCGGAAGTCTCACTGCCCTGAACATTCATCAAATGATTACCTGAAAAATAGAAGGTCAATTTTTTTTGGTATTTATTTTTTAGTCAATACCTTTATTTTATTTATTTATTTTTATGTGGTGCTGAGGATCGAACCCAGGGCCCCACACATGCTAGGCGAGCACTCTACCACTGAGCCACAATCCAGCCCCCACTTCTGATATTTTGGGATCCATTACCTGAATACTTACAGAACCCTGAGATCAAACTCTAGTAAGCAATTCCTTTCTCTCCTAAATGAATACTTGTAAAAGTCTCATGGTAAATATGTGGTTATGGATAATATGATACATTAGCTGGATACCTACACATCCATTTATCTCTATGAATGACAAATGCACAATATCTCTAACTAAAAACATAGTAACATCTCATGCTCATTAGTATTGTTAGAGACAAATTAAATTCTTCCCTGTAAACCAACCAAAAAACAAAGTTAGTATAAGTTTTCAATGCCATCACTCCTAAATATCTGAAAATAATGTCTTTAATGTGTCAATGTCATATCACTTCTTACCTATACATTGGCAAAATTCTTACCTGACACCTGAAAAGAAATAAAAAAACAGTAATTTAAGCATCAGGGACAATACCATCATCGTCACTGATCTAGATTTGAGATCAGATGATCTGTTGTGTGAAAGACACACATTATCACTTACATTGATACTAATATAGTCTAAGGTTAACAACCATTGCTAGGTTTGCCATGATCTCTCTCTCTTTTTTTTAAATTAGTTGTTGATGGACCTTTATTTTATTTGTATGTGGTGCTGAGAATCAAACCCAGTGCCTCATGCATGTTAGGTAAGCACACCACCACTGAGCCACAACCCCAGCCTCTGCCATGATATCTTGACAGAAATTTGAAAAACAAGTTTTGAAATGTGTGTTGGAGACAACTTTTTTTTAACCATAATACCTGCAGAAAAACCTTGGACACTTATCAATATGGGACATATAAACTCTACATAGGAGTACTCTACCTGCATTACTCCAAAGTCCACACCACTATCAGATAAGACCATTATTTCTTGACTGGACAGCTGCAAGAATCCCATGGTTGCTACTATGGAAGGAAACACCACAATAATCCTGTAGATGTGGCAATCCCTCATACATCAACAGAGTAAAAACATAAATTTTCCCAAAAATATTAAAAGAACATTAATAAGAATTCTATCATTTCTTACCTTGAAACCTGTAAAACCAACAAACATGGTAGCAATAGTTAAGAATATTGTCATCCCTTGCCTTCTTATATGAAGATGAAAGGTTTTGTGCTGTGATTTAAATTTATATAACTTATCTAGACCCCCTTTAATGACCATTGTTAAGTTCGCCATGAAAGGAACCTGAAAAACACAATGTGAAAAATGTGTTAAGTACTTGTTTTATAATACCCAATTGCATGAAAATGTCTTTGATTATTTTGTGCAACTTATTGATACTCCTGGATACTAGCAGAGTTGCAGAGTCAAACCCTGGTAAAAACACCTTTTTTTCTTGAATAAATGCTTGTAGATATCCCACGGACAATAACATGATTTGGACAATGTAAAAATTTACCTGGATTCTTGGAGATCCTTCAGTTACCACTAGTTTTAAAAATATATTACCACTAAAAAAGAATGTATAATCATAGTCTCATGCTTACTACTATTGGTGAGGCAAAATCTTTCCCCAAAACAGTTTACTATTAGAATTATGACTATCAATGTCTAAAATTCAGATGGCTTTAGTATGTAAATGTCATTTGATTTCTCACCTGTATATTAGCAAAGCACTTATTTCCATACCTATTTTTTTAAAGCCTTTTAACCACAAGATTAGAGGCACCATAATCTCTTAACTAGACATTGAAATCTGAAGTTGACTATTGTATAAATTTTCATGCCTCTTTCTTGTCTACCAGCAAAGTTCATGCTTATTACCTTTGTTAATTTCTTCATCTTCCATTGAATGGAACCTGCAAGACACACAGTGGTAACTATAGTTAAAGACATCTTTTTCTGGCTAGATCATTCAACTTCTCATGATTACTAGAAAATCATCAACTTTACCTGGATACCTGCAGAATATCAAGGTCAAAGCCATAGACACATCATAATTCTCTGTATGGGTACCTATAGAAACACATGGTTAATACTAAGTTGAGTAACATCATGATAATATATTTGGAAACTTAGAGTCCTCAGTCTTAATCAGGATTCAAAAAACATCTCTGAACTAGTAAACATTAAGGGCTTATTCTTAATCATATTTGTAGGGGAAACCCTACTTACCTGAATATCTGCCAAAAAAGACCCCACAAACATTAAGAGTGCCATAATTACTTACATAGATTTCTGAAAGTCAGAAGGTCTATTGTGTGGTAAAACCCACATCACACATCATTTACCTGGATATCAGAGAAGTTCCAGATTAAGCATTATCAGTGGTTACCCATTACCTTGGAACCTGAAAAAAAAAAAAGCACATCTTACAGATGTGTTTTAGAATACAACTTTTCTCCCAGGACATCTGAAAATAACTTTTGCCATTTACATTTCTTTTAGACCCATCAAATACCTGGATACTGGAAGCACTTTAAGGTCAACACCACTACTAGAGACACTATCATCTCTTCACTGCATATCTACTAAAATATCATGGTCAACACTGTAATTAGGAAGGTTATGATCTCTTACCTGACACATCTGCAAATATCTCATTAACTCCTAAGGTTAAACACACATTGTCTCTAAACTAGAAAACTGGTAAAACTATATTTCATGATTATTTGTATTTGTAGACCTGGTATAATGTTTCATCTGAATATCTGCAAAAAAAAAACCATGAGGAGAACACATTATGATACCATCACTACTTACCTAGATTTCTGAGAATCAGATGGTCTGTACTATGTTTAAGGTCCACATCAACATTGAACTGGATTCCATGAAATGCCTATTAAAAACAACCACTATGAACTTCACCATTCTTTCTTGATCAAAGCCTTCAAAAATAGTGGGAACTATAGTTAGGAACAAATATTCTACATGGACCTTGAAAAATGCTATATTCACTACAATTGTTAGGGGAGCCATGAATTCTACCTGGATTCTTTAATTATAGATCAACATCGTAGTCAGAGGCACCGTTATCTCTCGACTGCAACCTGAAAAAACACATGGTGGCAACTTTGATTAGGGATACATGTTCTTCCATCTGGATCACTGCTAATTACAACCTTCCATTTACTATAGTCTTTCCAGCAAACTCTAAGTCTACCAGGATACTTAGAGAACTCCAAGGTCAATATGTTAGTTTTAGATACCATCATATATTCACTGGACATCCCATGGTCACTACTATGGTGAGGAACTCTGTGATACTTTACCTATCTGTATACTTGCTACTGTCTTTGTCACTATTAAATTTTAAGACTAATTCCCTCTAGCCATGTGTGGTGACACATGTCTGTAATCCCAGCAGTTTGGGAGGCTGAGGCAGGAGGATCACAAGTCCAAAGCCAGCCTCAGCAAATTAATGAAGTCCTAAGCAATTTAGCAAGAGCCTGCCTCAAAGTAAAAAAATAAAATAAAATAAAAAGGGGCTGGGGATATAGCTCAGTGGTTACACATGCCTGAGTTCAATCCCCGGTACCCCTCCCCACCAAAAAAAGGACTGTGGGGAGCCACTCTGAATGATTCACACCTTCCATCCTGGAGCAGAGAGGCTTTGTCCATCACTACATCTTGTAGTGACCTGAATATTGTTCTAGTCCAGGAAGTTTGAGGGCATGTCTTCAGACATAGGCTTGTCGCTCCATGGCCCCTTGGGTCAAATTATACTCACCTGTCCTTTGTAACCCTGTCCCTTCTGACCTTTTTTGGATGGAACTTTCTAATAAGGGTCCCCCCAACAAAAGCCCACTTCCAAACGTGCTTGCTCTCTTGCCAGCCTTTCGTGACTTTCTCTTGCTGTCCCATTTGGGGAGTCTGAGGCCAAGAGCAGAGAAGCTGTCCTGAAGCTTGTTTAAAGGTGTGTCTGTGTTTTATTTGGTGTCCCTGCAAATTCACATGAGCGACCTTAAATTCAGCTGCCCATATGGGTTGGAGGCAGCAAAGGACTAATTCCCTTTGAAGTATAAGACAGTATAATCTGACAATTATTACTTTTGTTAGAAACACTCATTTCTTACTTGAATCCCTCTAAAAGCATATGGTTATGATAAGAGCACAGGACAGCATCATCAATTTTCTAGATATCTAAAAATCATATGGTCACTAATGTATTTATAGTCCACATCATCACTTACCTGGAAATCAGAAGTCTCATCTCTATTATTGTTGTTAGTTTTACCATCATCTACTGACTAAGATCTGAAAAATTCAATGGTCAGTACAATCGTTTGTGACATCATAATAACTTATCTGACACTTCCAAAATCTCATGATGTCCACTTAGTTGAAGCCCACATTATTTTCCTGTTACCTGTCAAATCCTTTGTTCATCTTTGCATTTAATTTCACCTTGTCTTCTCTAAAACCTATAACAAACAAAAAACATAATAACAACCATAATTATGAACACATTATCCTATGGAACACCTAAAAATCCCATGGGCATGACCAAGGATTAAGTCACCATTATTATTTTCAGAATACCTCAAAGACCCATATCTAATTTAGGTTTACCAACAGTTGATAACTGGATACATGAAAAATACATTGGTCAAAATGGTAATTTCTGACATATCTTTTATCTGGATGCCTACACAAGTCCATAGTGTCTACCAAGTCAAGAAAAACAACTTACCTTGGAGACCTACAAATAATAGATAAATGCCCTTGTAAAGACACAGCATCTCTTACTGGGCTAATTGTAAACTACTTTGTTATTACCATTGCTAGTTACACATCATTTCTTAATTGGATCCCGAAGAATCCCATGGTTTCCACATTTTTAGGGGCACCATTATCTCTTACCTGGATACTCATAAAATATCTTGTTTATTACTGTGGCTACCATTGTCTCTTGATTTCTTACCTGCAAGATCCCATAAACACTTTAGGGGTTAAGGTAGGTATCATCTCCTTACCAGATTCCTGAAAATCTCATGGTAACTTTCATGGTTATGTTCAATATAATACCTGGAAAACCACAAAATGCCACGTTAACTGATATGGTAACTACTTGTCTACTTGAGAAATTTAATCTGAGTACTGTAATTAGGGTTACCAACATCTCTTACCTGTTTATCTATAAATTACTATGGTCACTTTCATGGGTTTAGGTTTATCATCATTTCTTAACTAATATAACTTCAATATCCCATATTTAATAACTGAGCAGAAACACCTTTATTCTTACCCAGATATTTACAGAAATCAATGTATGTTACCATAATTTAGGACAACGTCATCTCTTCTCTGAATTCCTTCAAAATACTTTGGTCACTACAATGATGAGAGGTACTATCATTTCTTACCTTAATACCTGCCAAATCCAATGGTTACCAAATCTCCTGGATAGTCATTCAAGATTCTTCATGCTCTGACTTCTTCCTACCTCACCAGCCTCAGCCCCTGTCTTTACCCTTACCTTATATAATGTGAACATTCTAAGCATATGAACTTCTCTAAACATTCTTTTGTTTCCTGGTTACGTGAATTGGAGTGTTCAAGCCTGTCCTTAAATCTAATAAGAACTGATTATTGGTATTTCTTTGCAAATCAGTGTTCAGTGACCTTGAAATTGGCCAGGATGAGAGTATTAACATTATAGAAGTTGACAAATGTTACACAACAGGGCATTTCTTTTAGAAGAGTCAGTTATTTAGTTTTTGGAGTCAGAACAAAGACATCCCCCCTTCTTCAAATCCTGATTCTTTTAAAAATTTTTTAATTAGTTCTTTTTAGTTATACATGATAGTAGAATGTATTTTGACATATCATATATACATGGAATATAAGTTCCCATTTTGGTGGTTGAACAAAATGTGTAGTTACACTGGTCATGTATTCATACATGAACATAGTAAAAGTTATGTCCAATTCATTCTACTGTCTTTCCTATTCCCATCCCCTTTGTCTAATCCAATGAACTTCTATTCTTCCAAGTACCCCCCTTATTGTGTGTTAGCATCCACATATCAGAACATTAGGCCTTTTGGTTTTTTCCTGTTACCTGTTTTTTCCTGTTATCTGGGGGCGGGCTTATTTCACTTAACATGATAATCTCCAGTTCCATTCATTTACTGGCAATTGACATAATTTCATTCTTCTTTATAGCTGAGTAATATTTCATTGTATATATGTACCACACTTTCTTTATCCATTTATCTGTTAAAGGGCAGCATTTACTGGGATATGCTATTGAATTAAGAAATACATGAACAAGGAAAAGTACTATTGAATACTGACAACTCAATCTTTTGATTTCTCATAAATTTGATGTAACTTTTGTGGATAAAAGAATGTGAGCTTGCTCAACATATGCCTAAAATATATTACTTTTATAAATTATTATACTTAATGAAAAATGGTTAAGCACATTACAAATTAGTTAATATAATATTAATGCTAACTAGGGCTTTATACAATCTCAACAGGTCCACAGTTTAAAAATTTGCTGAAAAAATAATTATTAAATAATTACTATTATATAATTACTGAATATATTTAAATAATATAATATATTAATAGATCTAGCAAAAAGGTACTGACATAAAATCACTGAATTATGTGTATCACACACACACACATTTGCTGAAGCAAATCTTTTACTTACCATTTAAATTTATTATTGTGTTTTTCTGTGATGACCTAAACTTCTATCAGTAATCACAATTAGATTTCTTAGATTCTCATCTACTAATTCTAAAATGTCAGAGAAGTGGCACCCTCTATCCCTTCTTTTTAGATCTGTAAGTGTGGGATCCAATTTTATGACAATTCTTGAAGAACAAAGGAACATGTGACTACAATCTCATGACTGTTCCCTTTAGATTACCCTGAGACTTAGCAGAAGCAGACACAATAATTAAGGCTATTTTTCATATTCCACGTGGTTTCTTATTAATATTTCTTTATTTCTCTTTGCAAATCCACTTTTCTTCCATCTTCCTGGATAACAGAAAACAATGTCCTCTCAGTATCCATGGGGGAAACTTTAGTAATCTTATAGCTTCTCTTCAGTCAGGATTTAGATGAGTTCTAAAATTAATTCCATATTTTACATGTCTGTGCTCTTAAATGTTATGTCTGGATATATTAGAAGTACTATATATTATTATATAATGTGATATATTGTGTAATATATGGTGTATATGTGTGGGTGTATATATACATATCATGAGTACCAATAGCAATTATTTTTTTATGTAATATGTTTGGAAATCCTGAGAGTGATTCCAAAGTTACTATTTTGGTATTTAAAAACAATCAAGGATCACACACACACACACAAAAAAAAAACACACTGCCACTTCTATATTATTTTTATTAGGAATGAAAACTGCAGAACTTGGGATGTGGCTCAGTGGTAATAGTGACCCTATGTTCAATCCTCAATGCTGAAAAAGAAAGAAATACACAGTTATCTCTGGGAGTGGAATAGTGAGTGATTTTTATGTTCCTCTATAGACATTTTAAAGCTTATAAATTTTTACAAGGCACACAGTTAAGTTATTAATAGGAAGGGGTAAAACTATCTTTAATGTATCATCCTGTTCTCTTCTTGGCTGCTTTATTTGACAGGAACAAGGTTGTATGATGAGGTTGCTATAAGTATTAAGTGAGAGAACATCTGTAAACCACATCTGCAGCTCCATAGCTCAAAAGATACTGGTTCTTATCCCTCTACCAAGGTTGTTTCTAAAATTTATCTGTATCCTCAATTTGGAGTTACCTTGTGATATTACTAATTTTACTTGTAAAACTTACACACTAGAAAGACTAATTTTGCAAGGGTGTCTAACTCTTAGGACCTTAGCACCTATAGGCCTCTCGTAAAACAGCTGATACTATGAATCACTGACCTTTAAGTTTTGTGAGGCAAGATATCAAAATGATGCATCATATTAAAAATAGTCCAGAAATAAAGTTTATCTTTGTAAGACAAAAGTTTATAAAGATATGAGAATAATGAGATCATTAGGATTCTAGTATATAGCCTAGGAGGTAGACCAGGGTGGCTAATTTCTTAGATTACAACAGGGTTTCTTCACCTTAGCCCTATAGACACTTTAGATTAGATTTTTTTTTTCAGTACTCAGGATTGAACTCAGGGCCTTACATATGCAAGACCTGAGCTCTACCACTGAGTTACAGCTCCAGCTCCAGATAAATTTATTCCCTCTTGTGAATAATTCTTTATGTTTCCATGCATTGGAGGAAGTTTAGCAAAAAACTGTTACTGGTGTCTGGCAAAGGTGTGCAAGACACCAGTAACAGTCTACTCTCCAGTTATGACAACTAGAAATGTCTCAGATTTTTCCAAATGTCATTCAGGGATAAAATTGCCACCAATTGAGAACCACTGGATTACAGGAAGAAGAAAATTGAAAATAACAATATTCTTTTCTTTTTTCTATGTCATCTCACCAGCAACACTGCTAATGGTAATGTAGAGATGGATCACAACAAAACTGGCATAATATAGAAAGATATAATTATAGATTTAGCTACATGAATAAAAAGTTGTAATTCTTGTCTTTAGTCCACTGCCCACTTGTCTTAGGACAGAGTCTTATTAATTAGTAGGTCTCATGGGTTGTAACTTATAACACATTTCTAATTCACATGCAAGGAACCAAAAACTCATAAGGTGAGTGGAGGTCAACTTTTAATAAGACAGAAAGCATGTTCTGGAATGATCATACTTAAGAAGTAACAAGTAGCTGGGCATGGTGGTGCATGCCTATAATCCCAGTGACTTGGGAGGCTGAGGCAGGACAATTACTAGTTCAAAGCCAGCCTTAGCAATTTAGCAAGGCCCTAAGCAACTTAGTAAGACCCTGTCTCAAAATATAAATAAGTAAATAAAAATGTCAGGGAATGTGGCTTGTTGGTAAAGAGTCCAGGATTCAATCCCTGGTACCCCAAACAAACAACAACAACAAAAACCTAACAGCTGCAATGCTCAAATTTTGCAAGAAACTCATTCTGCCACTGAAAAAGCCATTGGGATTAGTCAAAGTGGAAAAAAGTCTGATTCAAATCATAAAGTAGAATTTCACTAAAAGATCTCTTTCTTTTGAGAATTGTACTTAATTAGGCCAACACCTCAGTAAAATACTGTATTTGTAGAATGTAGTTTTAGCTGAAAAGTTGGTTTTATGAAGGAGTCAGTGAGTGTTGGCAGTAATCAATATGCATGATTCTCATGGGCCATAGGCTAATTACACTTGGATTTCAGCACCCCTGCCTCTAGTCATATACGTCATTCCTCCTGATTATTTTGGACATGTAAAAAGCTTTTAAATTATCGTTCTTGTTCTCACAACAAGAAGAAGCCAAACAAACTGAAAATGAACCACTTTTCTTAAATCAACCATAGATTGAGGTCACAGTGCAAATTGCCATCCTGAAAACTAGGGAGGCATCTAAGTATAGAGAATAAGTAGTTTAGAGAAGAATACAGAGAAGAGCAGAGACCTCTGGAGACAGTAAATGGAGAGAACAATTAAACGGTGATTGATGAATTGCTAAAAGCTGAGTTTAAACTAACTTGATAGTTAAAACTACTGGTAGCCCCATTTTAGAGAGGCCCCTCACACTTTGGGGGTTTTATCTCCAGGAGCCCTACCAGGGGTGAATATCTTCTCTGCTTTAAAAAGTGAGAAAAGAGAAGTAATCATTTTGAAATAAGCCCAGAGTGTTCTATTCTCTGTAACAAGATTTAACCTCAAGGTAAACTATTTTACAAGAACATATCTTACCAAAAGGAAGGGCAAGTAGACAATGCTAGTCTCCCTCTAGCCTTCCTGTATCACATAATAGGGGGAAAGGCTGAGAAGTTCTGTTGGTCACAGCTCAGGAACTTAAGTCCACTAAAAAAAAAAAAAAAACCCAATATTTAATTCTAAGATTATAAAATGCTTCCCTTCCTCAAAATCTTAGCACCACACCATCAGAACTCCAGTATAATATTGGATTACAACTATTTAAGAAGGAGTTCTTAGGAAAATTTAAAAACAACATAGAAGCAGGGAATATGTGGAAACCAAAGAAAAATGGAATCTTTGGCACATATCGTTGTAATGAACATTAAATACAGACTAGTTTTTAGCCACAGTAACATAAAACCTTATGCTGAAAGCCTATTGCTTCTGTTCTGATTGTAACAGTGGTACATTTTATGCTTTGAATATAGTCCTTGCTGTCCTGCCTCTGAGATTTATTTTTTAAAAGAATATATTTCTTTCTCTTCCTCTTGTCACGGAAGAAGAGAGGTCTCCAAAGAAGGGTCTGAGGAGTTCCCAGAAGAGAAATAACGAGGTGCTGCAAGAAGTCAAATATGAGCTCAGAAGTGGGTGGGCAAGGCAAATGTAATTCTGCAGAAGAATGTGCTTCCAAAGGGAATCTGGTGAGCAAGCAAGCACAC